GGAGAAATGACCTTCCTCCCCTCCCTGTATCAGACCCACTTACAAGAGGCTAGAGGTGGGGTTTACAGTGCTTGTGAAATGAAGGGATTGACAGTGCATCCAAGCAAGTGCTCCTTTTAATAAATTTCTTAGCTGGGACACATGATCTCAGAGTCCAAGTTATCCCTTCAGATAAACTGCATGCCACTTGTTTTGTAAAGGGACCATTCAGCCTTACAAGAATAACACTTTAGTCACAGAACTGCAAGCTGGGGAACCTGCTACTTTATCCAATTGCAGATCACCAAACTAAGTGTGGGGGGGGGACTTTCCCTCCCAAAACAGGAAGTGAGGGACGGCTGGACTCCATTCTTTAGTATGCTAGGTAACTCAGTTAACCCTATGATGACCGCTTCATTGCAGTTTTCCAGGCTCCACAATCAAAAATGCCTATGACGAGAGGGTATTCCTCACACTATTGAATTACTATGGGAAGTTTGTAGTTAACATCCGTGACTCAACTCATTATTAAATTGCTACATATGAAAGAAATCTGGGTCTGGACCACAGAATGTGACATTTTGGGAAACACAATTAAAATCTCTGTGCCTCACCTTCTCCTATTAGTGGAATGAGGGCAATAACACTGACCAACCTCAAAGGAGCAGTGAGGGGATTGCACTAAATTAGGTTTGTAAAGTGATGCCAAAGTGCAAAGGGTTGTTAAGGACAGTCACTGGCAGAACAGGTCATAGATGGCAGGAATTCATGGCTCCTGGCCCTGAACATATTCCTCTGTTCCATATTGTCTGTAAATATAGGTACAATATTTACTAATCTCCAGTCCTGTGGCCTAGTAGCTGCTTTTAAAGAGAGTGCATTATAGTGGGGCAGTAGCATCCCTAGTCTAGGTTAAGAATCTTCCTATGCTGCAGGGCCTCTTCCCCTTAGGATAGCCTGCAAAGTGGAGTAGGGAGGCTGGGACTCCCCTTCACTCCCTTCTGCCATGTAGACATGCTCCTCACAGCCCATTGGTACCAACTTCCTTCCCACAATGGCCCCATCAACCCTATTGGGGGCATGAAGGGACCAGGAAGAGACCAAAGCTGGTAGCTGAGTGGCACTGATGTGTTCCCAGGAAGCTTCCTTGAGGCCCCCCACACATGCAGGTGCCCCACAATCATGCCATTCTCCCTACCAGCACTTCCTCAAAAGACAAGGGAAATTCACTGTCCAAAAACTTCATTAACATAGTTAAGTTTGACTGATCATAGCAGAATGCTGACTGCACCTTTACGTAACCCTCTGATATCCCAGAAATACAGAGGCAAGGCCCACAAAAGCTCTGCCCTGCAACCTTAACTCTGCACCCCCCGAGGCTGCAATAGTCACTGGGGATATACTGTGAGTAGGTTGCAGCCAAGGCTGCCCCATAACAAGCAGACCTGAAGAATAATGAACAAAATCTGCCATTGTGCGTTGTGTCCAACAGAACTGTATTCGCTCATTCCCCTGCATGCACTGCCCATCCCTGTGTTACGTGTAGCTGTATTGGATGGTGGAGCGATTAGCTGCAGCACACTGGGTGCCAAAATTCACACTGTCATACGAGGAAAGTATCAATGTGCCACAAGGATGAGGGATCTCGTCTCTGTGCTGAGGTGTGCTGCTTTTTTGAGCAGAGGGCCACAATGGTATATTCTTGGCATGGGGATTTGTAGCAATTTGGTACAGTACATGGCAGGACATCACAGGGCTTGCTAAGGGGTAGGCGAAAGTCATGTCCCAGAGGGAATCCTTAGGTCAAGGGTGAAGGGGCGGTAATTCCTGGAAACTAAGGTAGTTTGTGCAAATTAGGCTACGTGGTTGAGTGCAGGCCAGGCACAGCTACCTGTTTTTCACTGAGGCCAACCTAAACCTGGCTGTTGCCTTGAGGAAAATACAGTCTAATAGTTTCTCCTTTAGTACTGATGTTCTCTGTCCCCACTGTGGTCCATGTCTTCTGGAAGGACAGCATGCTATGATGTTTGATTCAGGGGTGGATTGGCGCTCAAAGTGGTCAGAGTTAAGGTTGAAGAATGAGCTTCTCTCTCCATTTCCCAATTTTCAGGGGGTTGAGTACAGATGCACTTGACATTCTAGAAGGGTACAAGGTGCTGCCAGTCAACCTTAACTCTGTGTTAACAATGTTGGGGCAATTGATATTATTGCAAGCAGCTCACCTACTTCATTCTTAAATTCAAACGGCAGTCGGTCTAAGCCCACTACAAAACTTTAGTGTGTGGCAGCTGGTTCCATGCAGCCAGCTAGCATGCACCAGGCTAGGGCACTGTACATTCACACCCTGGCTTGCCACGCACTAAGTCACAATACAGACAAGCCCTGAGGTAAGTCAGGAGGTGCCCTCCCTTATACAGGCTAAGACAATGATTTCATCCTCATGCAAACATGGTCATTCACCCCACAATGGACATGGCTTTTCAAGGTAGTTCCACAGCTTGATGTCCGAGGTGCTGTATCCCAGAAAAGGCCTTCAAAGAGGAATGGATGATCTCCGCATTAATTCACCAGTCCTGACCCAAATCCTCAACACACCAGACTCCTGTGTGCACACTTTGCACTGAGCCTGATTCCACACAAGGACTCCAAAAATCCTCTTACCATATCAGGAAGAGATCTCAACTAAATAATCAGTAATTTCCACACCCAGTTGGTGGATTCATCCCCTGAGGTTTTATGAGGATTTCCTATTGTTGGCACCAGCGAGGCTAGCGTTTGCTACAGATGCCAGCCTGCATGTCTGGAAGCCAAGGGAGTGTGGTCCGACTCGGACAAGATGTATACATTGATCGGAACTAAGGGCAATCAGATGAACCCTCCTTCATACCCAGCAGTCAATATCATGTTCTTAGCATCATCTACAAAACAACTGATGGGGAGAAGGGGGGACAGGTGCACAGGACTGGAGCTATAAGAATGGCAACTGGGATAGCAAACGTATGCAGTCAAGTTGTATGAATGTCAGGGTAGAGATTTTTCTGGTAACATGTTTTGTTTTATGCCTAGAAAGATTAGGCGCTGCTGATCATGATCCTAGCATGCCTATTCTTTACCCCCACCTTCTGCAGTCTCCATAAGGCAATCACGGGGGGAACTGAGTTTTCAGCATCTTTGCTGGCTCTTCAACTTTAGGCCAAACCTACCCCTGAAATGTGAATGAGAGCTGAATGTGCAGGAATCATTAATGTTTGTTTATCTCTTACAGCCAGTTGAGAACAGTTCCCAGGGTGAAGGGTTTCCCCCAGGCTCTGAAGGTTGTGGGCATCCTCCACCACATAGCATGAAGAGAGCAAGGTCTGGTCTTGGGCTTTCTGGTGCAAGCTGTGTTTGATTGCTGTAAAACCATTCCAGTGTGTTGTATCAACCAGGCAAGGTACTAACAAACTTCAACAGGACTTTATTTTTACAGTGGAAACCTCTTTACCAAATGTCCATCACAGGGCACAGTGACATCAGGGGGTAGTTACACAACAGGTGTAGGGGAGGGCATGGGTTACAGTTATAGAGGCTTCACGCTTATTGGTTACAATATTATTTCACACAAGCAGTTATTACATTTTATAAGCATTAGGCACATATTGCAAATAGTTCCTGCTTCTGGGGCTTTCCATTGTTCCCCCCTCCCTCCCCCCCCCCCCCCCCGCCAGTCATGGGACACAGCCAGTTTGGTTCAGGATTTGGGCCTGTTAGTTACAAGGCAGGCCCAGGTCAACAAACAAAGGCCTAGGCAATTGGGGGGAGAGGGGGTCTTTTCCTCCACAATCCCCCCATTTGATGCCATTCAGGCATCACTAAGACCACCATCACTAAGGCCAATTTTACTAAGGCCAGCTTCTACGGGGTGCATGGGACAGTAATTATTGCTGGACACTGAGGTGGACTGCAAGCTAGCCCATTTAGGAGTATTGGGGTTGGTACTGACACGCTCAAAGGTATTAACGCTAGCGGTACTGACACTGAGGGTGCTTACAGCCTTTGTCTCACCTTCCAGTGTGTGCTGATTTTTTCGAGTTTAGCCACATTGTCTTTGGGCTGGGTGATGGGGAGGAGTAGGGCCTGGGGAAGGGGTCTGAAGCTGTGGGGACTTTAATGGCCAGTGTTTACTGATTTTTTATTTTTATCCAGATATTAGGTGTTATTTTAGGAGCACTGACTATAAATTGGTTAGGCCTACCAGGTGGTGTAATTTTTTTTTCAAATATCTTGGTGAATTACCCAATTTTATATGCATCCTTTCCATGGATCCGGCAGGATTTGGTATTTGGGAGCCCACATCCCTTTAATTGGTTTATATGCTTGGAAGGAGCACTGTGACTGTTCACACCTTTACGTGTGCCTTTATGGCCACAGATTAGATTGTACTCCCGAGGTGTCTGTAAGGGCAGTGGACCAGGCCTGGTGCTTGAGATTACTTCAAATGGCCATTAGCTGGTTATCTAGGAAATTTTGAACTTTTAAACATGCCAGGTTCCACTGCAATGCCTTCCCAGCACCGGTGACATTTAATATCATTTTTGTTAGCAACTTTTGGGTTATTGAACTAAGGGCGGAAATAACATGCAATTCACCAACTCCAGCCTGAACCTGAGTTAACTGTGTTTTAGTAATAAGATTACAAGATGGTACAGGCTGAATTAGAGGCTACTGATTGGCTAAGATTTAGAAAAATATTACTTTTCCATTCCCACCCTAAGTTCGTTAAGGAGGAGAGGCTGAAGACTATTAAACATTTTATCTTCAGGTAGTTTTGGCTAGCCTCTGCAAGCTATTTTTCAAGATTTCATAGTCTCAGTTCACTTAGCTGTCTGACAGCGAGGCAGCAAGGGAGAGGTTACTAGCACAATCACCTTGCTTGCTTGGAGGCTTTATTATGTTCTCAGGGGTAGAGGTTGTTTTCTTAGCAAGATCCAAAGGCACAGTGAGTCTATCAGCGGACAAAGGAGAGGTTATCAGCTCTTTACCTTGTTCTTTACTTCTGCTGTTCAGAAGAAGCAACAACGCCAGAAGGAAAGATAGACTGATCATCAGTCGGAGAGCCATTACAGTGAGAAACATGGGCAGGTAGTCAATTCTTAGCACTTCACAGCGGTGTTGATAATTAACAGGACTTGATAAGGGCGGTTCCTTGCTGATGGACCTCCATGTAGACCCAGTCTCCTGGTTTCAGCGAGTGGCAGAGCTGTTGTATATAAAAGGACCTAACACATTTCATTAGTGCCTGGCAATAATTAAGCATTGTGTTATTTATTAACTGAGTGTCCATCTGAGCCAGGGCCAGCAGGGCACTGCCAGTTGTTGCATCGGGTGCCCTGTTAGAAAGTTATGAGGGCTGAGTTCAGTTTTTCGATTGGGAGTAGCCTTCAAATTTATTAATGCTAATGGGAGGGCATTTGGCCACTTTAAATTTGTTTTAGCACAGACTTTGGCCAGTTTATTTTTCAAAATCCCATTTTGACGTTTTACTGTCCCAGCAGACTGCGGGTGGTGGGGCAGTGGAGATTGTGTTGGATCTGTAAAGCTGCACATAACTTGTTATAATTTGTCCAATAAAATTAGGTTTACAATCACTGTTGCTGCTTACAGGTACGCCAGATCGTGGTACAAAATTCCTAACAAAGCTTCACAACAGCTCCGGCAAACCAAGAAACACTTTTGCCAAAACTGTGGTAAAACCCCGTCCAAGAACCTTCACCATTTTCCTGGCCTTGGCTGCCCTGCTGCAGTCACAACTCTGTTTTTTTTTATTTAAAAAAAAAAACAATTTCGTAAAGCATTACGTTACCTTAAAGATTAAATGCTAAATACCAAAATCAAACAACACTAGTTTCTTTTGTTTGGCAAAAGTATTTTTTCAGTTTTACAACCCTAAACAACACCAATTTATTTTAAACTTATAGAACAAAGATTGTACACACCACTAGTGTTCTTTAGCAAATTTGACTGACTTTTTTATAGTCAAATGATTTTACTTAAATAACCTTTTGCCTGGATTATTTACAGACATGCCCAAAGGAATGGCTGCAAAGAAACCAAGAATTTTCTTTTCATAACACCTTTTAACATTTGTACATAATTTCACTGCTTAAACAGTAACTACAGAGTTAACTTTTTACTTTCTCTCTCTTAAATTCCTCAAACTGCGGTTGCCTGCTTGTTTGGGCCCGATTCTTTTTTCTTACTGAACTATTTCTTTCCATGGGCACAGGCATTGTTTTACGATCAATTAAGCAAGGAGGGTGGGCCTTTTGACTAACCCCCCTTTATTTATTTATACACACCTATCTACATACACACACTTATTTTTTAGATAATTACAGGTTAAATTTTTCCTTGGTTTAGTTTGAGAGAGGGTTTTACTGCACTTTGGGAAGGGGTTTCACTGGGGTTAGGTGAATTTCAGCTAGTCGGGCAGACTCAATGTGCCCAACCAGGTTGGCATGATCAACCCACAATAAGAGGTGGGGGCCTTGCCAGCAGTTCCTGTTGCAACAAGGAAGGGCTGGGGTCGGTCTCCTCCTTTAGAGTCTCCTTCTGCAAAACTGCCAGGACCTTATTGTGAGCGGGATTAGACACATCCAGATACACACCATTTGGGGTACAGCAGATTATACAATTTAATTTACACAGCAAATTTCTTCCGGGAAGGTCATTAAATAAACTTAGGGACATTCCCTTTTCCAATGGCCCATCTGTTTACAATAATGACATGCGCCATTACTGGATCCCCGGGGAGGTGGACAGTGAGGACCTTGGTTTGGCCTTTCCCCTGTCCTCCGCAATGGGCGGCTATTGTGGGGTTTCTGCATGTCCTGGCACTGTCTGAGGGATACATGTAAGGGCTTTTGATACTTAAGGCGCTTGATGTTTCTTGCCCTTGGGGCCGGTGGGGACTGGGCAGCAGCTCCCTGCCAAGTTTCGTCTGGGCAACCTGCCTCAGCAGCTGCTTCTATAGGCGGTGCTGGAGCAGAGTACATGTATGCAGCAGGAGTGCCCTTCTTTGGCGTGGGAATTTGCTCAGACACCCCTGCCCCCATTATGGACACCTTAGACAACCACAGCCGGGTGGACAGGCATACACAAAGGACTAAACACAAAACACTTAACAAACCGGCTACTACGGTGGACAAAACATATAACATTTACTGTGTGCCAGCACAAAGCACTTAACAAATCGGCTAGCGCAGTTGACAGAACGTACAACATTTACCGTGTGCCCTTCTTGCATGCCCTCATCCCAACATTCACACCAGAAAGGGTCAGGGAAGAAGAGGCGGTCGCCGCACATCCCCCTTCCAGCAAAGAGCAGTGAGCAAACAGCTGGCAAAAGGAATTTACAAGCTGAATTGTTTTTGTTTTCTTTCTACCTCTCAGGGATAGCTAGTTAGAAAGTCTCGGTTACCTGAGCTGAGTGCATCCCAGTTTCAGTGAACTGCAGAGGGGGTGTGACCCAGCACAAGAAAACAGGAAAATGAGTACAGGGACGTAGCTAACAAACTAGAACTGGCCAGACTAGAAGCAGAAGAAAATGAAAGGAAACATCAGAGACTGCTCCAATTAAAAAAAAAGGGATGGAGCTGAAAAAAAAAAGAGATGGAGGAAAGAGAAAGAGAAGAGAAAGCCAAAGAGGAGGCCCACAAGAAAGCTATGGAGCTAAAAGAAAAAGAGATGGAGGAGAGAGAAAGAGAGAGGAAGCATGAACTGGAATCAGCACAGGCTAGGCCGGATATACCAGCCAATCCTAGCAACCCCTCTCCAGGTACCACTTCCCATCCCAGAAAATTCCCCACCTACAAGGCAGGTGATGATACTGAGGCCTTCTTAGAAAATTTTGAAAGGGCCTGCCTTGGGTACAGCATCACTACAGACCAGTACATGGTAGAGCTGAGGCCGCAGCTCAGTGGACCCTTAGCAGAGGTGGCGGCTGAAATGCCTAAGGAACACATGAACAGTTATGAACTTTTTAAAAACAAGGCCAGAATCAGAATGGGGCTAACAGCTGAGCATGCCCGTCGGCGGTTCAGAGCCTTAAGGTGGAAACCCGATGTGTCATTTACCCGACATGCCTACCACATTGGGAAAAATTGGGATGCCTGGATATCAGGAGCAAATGTTAAATCTACGGAAGAGTTGCCCTTCCTAATGCAAATGGAGCAGTTTTTAGAGGGTGTTCCTGAGGAAATAGAAAGGTACATCCTAGATGGGAAGCCCAAAACTGTAACCGAGGCGGGGGAGATTGGAGCCAAATGGGTGGAGGTGGCAGAAAAGAAAAAATCTAGTAGCAGTTGGAGCAAATATCAGAAGGGGCAAGCCGAAACAAAACCTTACCACCGGGGACAACCCAAGGCCCCACCCACATCCCAAGGGAAACCCCAGACGCCTTCTCACCCCACCACACCAGTCTTCACCAACCAACATCACCCCGGTGATACCTTAGCAGGGCGATGTTTTAAATGTAATGAACTGGGACATATAAAGGCTCACTGCCCCAAGAACCCCAACCGATTACAGTTCATTACACCACAATCACACCAAAGATCCCCAGACCCAGATGCCTCTCTCATACCCTCGGAGCGAAGGGAAACCTTGAGAGTGAGCGGAAAGAAGGTTATTGCTTGGAGGGACACTGGGGCACAAGTGTCAACTATCCACCAATCCCTAGTGGACCCCAAACTCATCAACCCGGAGGCTCCAGTGACAATTCAGTCCTTCATCTCACAGTCTGTAACCTTGCCTACAGCCAAGTTGCATATCCAGTACAAGGGCTGGTCAGGAATGTGGACTTTTGCAGTCTATGACAATTATCCCATCCCCATGCTGCTGGGGGAAGACTTGGCCAACCATGTGAAGCTAGCCAAGAGGGTGGGAATAATCACCCGCAGCCAGGCTAAGCAAGCTTTCACCCCCATCCCTGTTCCTGAGCCGTCCCCCAGGGCCCCGTCGGTGTTACCAGAGACCCAGACAAAGGTGGTGGAACCGGATCCCCTGCCAACGACTGCAACAGCCATAGTGGATCCAATCCCAGAGACCCAGCCAAAGCCAGTCCCAGAAATGGAACTGGCAACGCAACCAGCACCAGAACCAGTGCCAGCACTGAGTCCAGGCTTGCAAACCCGTCTACAACTCCAATGCCAGAGGGCACTAGCGAGCCTGAACTGGCAGAAGCAGCAGATAACCCTACCCAAGAGGCTCAGCCAGAGCCGGAAATACAACATAGTGCACCAGCGGACAGCGGTTCACAGTCAACGGAAACAGCCCCAGCACCTGCATCACTTCCAGAGGGACCAAGCCCAAGTCTACAGTCCAAGGAGGAACTGATGTCTCCAGCATCAAGGGAACAGTTCCAGCCCGAGCAGGAAGCAGATGACAGCCTTCAGAAAGCTTGGGCGGTGGCACGGAGCACCCCACCGCCTCTCAGCTCTTCTAACCGATCCCGGTTTGTGATAGAACAAGGACTTTTATACAAGGAGACTCTTTCTGGTGGGCTTTGAGGAAGACTGTGTTGCAGCAGTTGCTTTTTGCCTACAGGGCCACATCCCAGTTTAGGGTTTTCACCATTTGAACTTGTGTATGGCCGCGAGGTTAAGGGGCCATTACAGTTGGTGAAGCAGCAATGGGAGGGGTTTACGCCTTCTCCAGGAACTAACATTCTAGACTTTGTAAGCAACCTACAAAGCACCCTCCGACACTCTTTAGCCCTTGCTAAAGAAAACTTAAAGGATGCTCAGGAAGAGCAAAAGGCCTGGTATAATAAACATTCCAGAGAACGGTCCTTCAAAGTAGGAGACCAAGTCATGGTCTTAAAGGCGCTCCAGGCCCATAAAATGGAAGCGTCGTGGGAAGGACCATTCACGGTCCAGGAGCGTCTAGGAGCTGTTAACTATCTCATAGCATCCCCCACCTCCAACCTAAAGCCTAAGGTATACCATGTTAATTCTCTTAAACCCTTTTATTCCAAAGAATTAAAGATTTCCCAGTTTACAACCCAGGAAACAGATGACGCGGAGTGGCCTGAAGGTGTCTTCTACGAAGGAAAAAGTAATGGTGGCGTGGAAGAGGTGAACCTCTCCGCGACCCTTGGACGTCTGCAGCGGCAGGAAATCAAGGAGCTGTGCACTAGCTTTGCACCAATGTTCTCAGCCACCCCAGGACAGACCGAACGGGCATACCACTCCATTGACACAGGTAATGCTCATCCAATTAGAACCCCACCCTACCGGGAATCACCTCATGCCCAAACTGCTATAAAAAGGGAGATCCAGGACATGCTACAGATGGGTATAATATGCCCCTCTAATAGTG